TGCAGCTCCTTCGGAGGTGCCTGCAGCAGCCCCATCGCTTGCGGCCTCGGACCACCCTACCTTGAAGTACCTGCAGAGTGGTCTGGCAACTGATGCTGCGAAGGAGTTTTTGGGCTTAGCAACGGAGGCGGTTGAGGTGGCTGGCATCCCTGCTTTCAGCGACGAGTTGTATGAACAGAACATGGAGAAGTGGGGTGCCCCTGCTCGCACTTATGCTCAGACTTAAACAAGAGGGCCGGTCAGATTTCGGAGCCGAGGCAGCTTCACTTGTCTTGTCCCCGCGCTGTGGATTGATCCTCTGACCACCACGCACCCTGGCGTCATTCCCTCGCTGACGTCCATCGAGCAGGTGGCCAAACGGATGTGGTCCCTGGAAAACAGCGAAGGACACGTCGATGTTGCGATGCTGTCCTGAAATAATCCCTCCTTAGTGTTTGTTTGGCCAGGACCTTTGCTGTGGCGTGACGCCATCTCGGTGGCATCATACACAACGAAGAATCGCCCGAAGGTGATGGAGCCCCTGAGCTTGGACACATACCGAATGGCGTTTTGGTATTCTGTCTGCCAGGGCGCCGGCCACATGTCAATTTCAGACACATCCCTGCTCAAGCAGATGCAGACTGCGCTTTCATCTATGAAGGTCACGTTCGTCCTTTGCGGCTCTAAAGAAGATGCCGAGAAGAAGAGATGGGAATTGTCTGCCTCCTCGCAGCTGCTGGGCGAGACGCGGGTGCTTCGTGGATGGAAAAGGGTTCTTGGCGTTGTCGCTCTGAAGGGCAATTTGAAAGCATGGGCCNNGCCAGACCATACGCGGACCTGGATGTCTTTCAGCGGCATTGAGCGAGCACCTTGACAATTCATGTTTGGCAGTAGTCGTGTTTTACCAAGGTTTCCAAATGGCTGGCCAAGCAGGGGGTGGACGTCCCGCAAAATTCTGTGAGGAGCATGGTCTTGGTGCATGATCGCATCATGGCTGCCCAGCTCGGCGACTTGATGGAGGAACTGGAGGTGACTGCTGGGGCCGAGCATCCACTTGCTACTGTGTCTACCCTTGAGAAGATCATGAGTCTCACGAAAATCGATAAGAACGTTGAGTTGAGTAACAAGCTGGTGGAGTGGATCTTCTACGATGCTTTGAACTGCCTCAGGAGCGGGTGGCTGGATCGCGATGCTAAGCGTGATGACATGATTGCATTCAGCAAGGCCTCTTTGCTGGGAAGGCGGTGTGTCTTCTATTTGATCCAGAAGCTGAAGTACGGGCAGACTGACATGGCGGCTGACCCAAGAACTCCTGCTGGATTCCTGGCCAACATGCTTTCTCACAGGACCTTCTCCAAGGGAGGGTTCCACGATGGTGGTGACCAGACATGGCTGGCTGATCTGTACAGCTTTCAGCGGGATGCTTTGTATTCCATCAAGCTGTTCTTCAGCGGCAGTGCTGACTTGCACAATCTCCTTCTGGAAGCCAGCCAGAAGGACGCCAACGTGAGTGCCGAGGTTTTTTTGCAGTGCCCCAAGATCAAGATTTTGGTGGACATTGATCATTTGCTGGATGTGAAGTTGCACCCTGGCAAAATGAATATGCTGTTCGTCTCTTGTTCCCATTTGACAGCATGTTTTTGATTGTGGCATTGAGGGGAGACCTGGAGCCCAAGACGGTCGCTGAAGCCGCCTCAGCCCTTCCGGATGTCCCCGTTCAGGTGGGAGTGCTTGTGACACACCTGCTGCATGCATCTCTTGTCCTGGGCAGGAGACCCAGACTAAGCCTGAGACTGAGAAGAAGCCGGAGAAACCCCTCGAGGCTTTCGAGGACCGCCCCGTGATCGCGTTGGAGGATGAGTCTCCAGAGACGGAGGAGGAACGGAATCTGAAGAAGAAAGAGTCGCTCTTTGCGAAGCTCTTCCCAGATTTGTGCCCGCCGCAGTACATCAAAGATATCTTCATGAAGGTGGAGCGCGGTACCTTGGAGAACATGGCGAATTATGCAAAGCATCGTGCCCAAGCCGCGATTGAGATGTATGCAACTGGTTGAAGTAGTGCTATCATGAATGAGTAAGCCCAGGTGTGTTTTCCTTTGTGGATGTGCGCGTGTGGCAGCCAAGCTTTGACTGGGAGAAGGCGTCCTCGGAGTGGGGCGAGGGGCCCTTGCTCTTTGTTGCTGATTCCAAGTGCTATGGGCCCGGTGGCATGTCGCTGGCCTTCCAAAAGATGCTCTACGATGGCCTCCTCGGCAATCCAAAAAGTGAAGAGGCAACCACGGCCTACTGCTTGAAGAAGCACTCCGTTGCAGTCCTGCTGGATGGTACCAATCAGGTGGTTTCAGGCCAGATCAACCGGGAATGCCAGAGACGCCTGAAGGCCAACTCGGAGTTCTGCAGAAAGCAGGGG